AATTCATTTCTGCTACTAAGTAATATGTCATAAACTACAGAGGAGAAACATGCATACAGGCAAACCTGTTGTTGGTAATATTTACATTTTCTTTTAAATTCACCAGTGAGTAACAGTAACCTATTACTTAGGAGAATGCCTTGCCAGTGTTTGCTAATGACTCTTCCTAACAGTAACAGATATCCTGCATGGTCCAACAAATTGTAAGTCAATCTTCAGGTTCAGTGGAAGGCAATATCCTGAAAGAAAAATGACTTTGGCAGTTTGTGATCAGCAACTTGAATTACAGCCTCAGTAGACTGAGCATCACACTGTTTCATTTAAGAAGCATGACCACATGTTTGCAAAGTGAGGACTGGTTTTTTATTTCATTGCAGAAGCCAAGTTAGAAATCATAAAGATAGCATGATAGCAAAAGACTGCCTCATCCAGAGAAGGAAAAATCAAAAACTGACTCTGAAGTGTAGGAGGGAAATAATGATCTATAATATAGGTATAATGTTTTATAGAATATATATGATACTAATTATAACATTGGGCTGATGATCTTTTATTAAGAGAGTTTCTGTTCTTGTTCCAATGCTCTGATTTCTGAATAGAAATGTGGTATTCATTTTTCCCACTGTGAGTACCAATTCTTACCAATTTATCGGAAACATTTAAATGACTGGTGTCCCCCATCTCCAGGAAGGACCCTGTGATATAACCTGGGCTCTGCAGCATTGCTGAAAAGTAGGACAGGAGAGAAGCAAAGGCCAGGGGCCGTCTCGCTTTGCGTCCCCGTTGGTGATACGAAGGACGTGGCTGTGACCTGGCAGGCTCTGCCCTTGCTGCCAGAGCTGCCTTGGCTGAGCACATCGGGTTAACCCGAGCGGTGCCCAGCACCTGGAGGGAGAACCTGCCCCCCTGATTAGGTGGTTAATGTTGAGGAACAGTGAGGAGAGCTGAACACAAAGCAACAGAGCTGAACACAAAGCACCAGGCCTGTTGACAAAGCCAAAATAAATCAGGAAAAAGCACTCAGGAAATCCTTCCTCTGTCACCCCTTGGCAGACAAGGCAGGGTTGGGCAGGTGGACACCTGGCCGGGGTTTGAGCCAGCTAACACAAACCTCGCAGCCAGGGCCAGGTGAGGAGCTGCCCAAGTGCAGATCAGGGAGAGGTGAGCTTTCCTGGCCCTCGTCTCCCACCAGACAGGATATTTCTGCCCTGTTGTCTTCAAGGCCTAGCTAGTTCAGCCTTAGTTTCATATGAGCCCTCCAACCCTCCTGAGTTGAGCATCACGCCGCCCATCACCTGCTCCTAGGTCTGACCTACTCAACGCTCCGTGGGGCAGGAGGGGGGGACAGCCTGCACGGGCACCTGAGCTGGTTCCCAGCAGGTTGAGGGGTCCTCCAGAAGGGAGGCTGCCAGCAAGGCAGGGCTCGGGGAGCTGGGCAGCATAGCACCCGTCTGCTCACCCATCTCCACATCAGGAAGCGGGACACCCTCGGTGCAGCCAGCCGGCAGCTCCCCTCCACCACAAGCAGGAGGTTTTGCTCCCCACCGCTGTCCCCACCACCCCAGCTGTCTGCCAGGCTTCAGGTGGCCCTGGCACTCCCTGGCTGTGACCCTACCCAGCTTTGTAACCCTCACCCAAAAGGAGGGGGGGGTCTTCTCCTGATGGAGAAGGTTCGCATGTGCCATAGCGGCCAACCGGCACCTGAGTGAAGTTGAGCAAGGAGACAGTGGCACTGTGTGGTGGGAAACGGTGAGCTGAGAAACAGAAGTGAAGGAGGAGGAAGAGGAGCCACATTCTCACTTCCATTCACTGTCCTATGCTGGCGCGGAGGCTCCCACCCTGCCTAGAGTCCTGCAGCTGACACGTTTAAATCAACTCAGTGGGCTCCTTGCACACCAGGAATAAAGCCTGTGTTTTGAGCGCTTGTCCTCTGCAGGAGTGCTGCAGCCTCTTCTCCAGCCAGATTCAGGAGTGCCCAGACCCAGCACATTTGCAGTGTACATGGACAGCAACAGAGATGTTGAGAAAACCACTCTTGCCCATCTTGTCCCCATCCTGCCTTTTACCCTGCTGTGTTTCCAGGACACACTCCTCACTTTTTGGGTAGAAGAGTCCACTGGCACAGTTTTACCTGAGCAAAGACTCCTTTCACAGAAATAGGAGCTCTTCTAATCTTGGCCTCTCCCTGCTTTAAAGACCTGCATTTAGAACTCTGACCAGGTGCCTAACTAGTTGTCATGGCTATTATGGCATTTCTAGTTCAAGAGGACGGTGAGTAACTCAGGCTGCCGTTTCTGCTGGGCTGCTGGACCACAGAGAGGAGCAGTCACACTGCCTCACCCAAGCATCTCTGTCAGATGGCTTGAGAATTCAGGCAACAGGATTATTGGTTCCCTATGGAAAGTAAACTGTGGTTCCCTGATGGAAAATCATGACCAAGAACTAGTCAAAATGTAATTTAAACACACCTAAGAAACGCCCCAGTGCTTACTGCATCTACATGACATGGCCTCGGCAGATCAGGGACTCTGGCCCTTCCTAGCCCGCTGAATTGGTACCTAAGCAATTGCATTCTTTTCACGTTTCTACTGCCAGTTACCTTATCTTATTGACTCAACTAGTGTTGAGTTTTCCAGAGTGGGGACCATGTCTGTTTGCCTGTAAAACACTCAGCATAGTGACCTTTCCACAGCCACGTGTCCTTGTGTCCCATGCAGTTGCAGATGCCCCATCTGGACAGGGATTTCACCTCCTCCTTCAGACACAGGGAAGGAGAACAGGGAGGCGACAAATCCTTTGAATTACAGACTTCATTATATACACATGCTGTATCGTCGCTGATTCAGAGCCGCCTAGTGCAATGGGACATGTTTGTGCTGGAATAGAAACACAGTCCTGTTAGAATAAAGTTCACCATATGAACTAGATATCCTAATATAATGATTTCATTTCATTAAGTCAGCACCCCAAATTCTAATTCAACAAATTTCAAGGTGGCACAGATGTGGCCTATCACTTGGGTGTGTGTAGCTCTAAGCATCAAGTAACTCATGGCGTGATCCAGTTACGGGTGTGCTTAAGAGCTTATATTTGACCTTGGTCCCCAGCAGCAAAATCCTTTGGATCTGATGGGGATGTGATGTCGTTGTAAGTAATCCCTTCTTCAGTTAAATATGGCCTGGAAAGCAGATGTTTAATAAACTGCAGATGCATTTAGGGGTCTTCATATTTAAGATTACTTCTTATTTTTAAAGAGTCTGGGTGTGTTTCTTTCTATCAGAGGGTGCAACTCCTCACAAGTAATTATTCTTGCATCATGGAGCTTCCCAGCCTCCTTCAGTAACTTTCCCTAAAATCCTATGATTTTATTGTATAGATGGATCCTGAAAGTGTTGGGAATAATCCATTTCCTTATCTCAGTGCACTTAAGATGTATAACCCTCCCAGAATAGCTCTGCTATTCCATTCAATGCTCCTGATTATACATACACCTAAGAGAAATCAAGTTTAGGTTGAAATAGATGTGTGTAGACTGACTCTACACATGCATACACACATTTCTTTAAAAAAAGACCTCGCAAAGCCCTTGACATACACCTATTCAAAAACCTGCAGTGAGCTTTTTGAACACAGGTGAGCACGCCTCACTTCAAGCACCCCCGAACTCATCTGGATCCCTAACTCTGCAGCCCGGTCCCCGTGGCACTGGGCAATTTGCTGACGCTGGACACCTGGCACAGCCAGGCACCATCAGGCCCGTGCCATCCCGATTCTGCTCCCCACACCTCTCTGGAAAGAGGAAATACCCTGGCATAGTCCTTCCCTGGGAAACTGAAACCTGAAGTCAGAAGCAACATGTTACAGCCCTGCCGTTGCCTCAACTACCGATCCGCAGGGATGGTGCCAGAGCGTTGCCTCTGATATCTGTCATAATGTCAGAGGTGTTAACATCCAATTACAGGAAAAAATGAGCTCTGCAATCAAGGGAAAAACTGATGCTGCCTTTCTGTGAGCTGGGAGATTTCTGTTCCTGGGAGAGAGAGTATTTTTGTCAACTATGAAATAAAACCTCTGCGAGATGAGTTCCCATTAAAATGAAAAGGACGATTTCTTTTAATGTGTAGCTATTCTTCCAAAGTCCAAGGGACATTATACACAGAAAGATTTTGCTAGTGTATGAGAGTGGGGAAATTAAACTATCGAAGACTAAAGTTATCTTGGTCAACATCTAAGACCTCCCTAAGTTTCCGAAATGCAATTTATCTGTTTTTATTCTGTTCATTTTATATGTCGCTGGCATGGTTTTTTATGCTTGCAGTTTTCAGAGTCCATGGCAAGCTGTTAGGTGAGTTAAAATGGCTGAGGCAAAGAATGGCACCAGGCATTACCCTCTGCACATCCGTATTTAGGATCCCCCTGGCTCTGTGGGGATTAGGTTACTGGTGAGCGAGAAGGTCTTCATGGTCAAAAATACCCTGAGGACAGGCCACTTCCCAGATTTTCCTACTAAGCAGCAGTGAAAGAAAATCTGCCATGTGCACCTGCAGACAGCTGCTCTCTTCACTCTCTCACACAGATTTGGGGTGTCCCCGCCTCAGCAAGCTGCAGTCCCTTCCCTCACCCCAGGAGGAACTGGGAGATGCTCTGTCTTGAGATGTGCTCCCCACGAGTGATGGAGGCTGTGCTGTCCCTGTGCACCTACAGCAAGGAGATGGCAAAGTGCCGCCTGTGGGGCCAGGCTGCTCCCACTGCTCCCTCCCGCTCCTGTCACCCCACAGGGAGCTGATGTAAAAAATCTGGGTGGCCAGGAAACTAACCCTATAGGGGCAAGACCTGGAATAAATTTCTCTAGGGTTTTTTTGACCATTCAGTTCCCTGAGCACAGCAAGACTTTCTACCGGAGTATCGTAAAGCAACTCACTGAAAGTACAGGAGAGAAGAGGAGTGCTGGGCAGACATCAATGGGTGAAGGAGCTAAGTTAAAGGGGGTATAACCTCACATGTCCACCTTCCACTGGGATGTCGGCATCTTGCCTCATAGCAGGGGCTGGACCACATGCTCGTGACATCTGGAAGTCAGAAGAAAATGGAAAGAAGATGACCCTTCAAAGGCTTGCTCCAGCAGCAGGAGTCCAGCCCGGCTCGCAGCCCTGCTGTGAACTCTCTGCCCCATCCCCAGGAGGGTGCAGGCACAGCGTCCTTCCACTCCAGAGACTTAAAGACAAAACCAGCCATCACCTCTTCCCCTGCAACTCATTCCAGAGGCCCCCAGGCACACCAGGTCTGCCTCCTGCCGCCGAAAGTTTTGACACCTCTTGACTGACTGGCGATGGCACTTTGGGCTGATGAGGGCAAGACGGTGGTGCTCACTTGTTCAGAAAAGGAGAGTCCCATCCAGGGAATGGGAACACTGGGGTACAATCCAGTTGGGCTTTTGTGAGTACCTCTCCCCTGCCTGGGGGAAACACCCAAGCATAGCTGTGAGGGAGGTCACCTCATGCTTTTGGTAATCTCCTCCACAGTCATTTCCAGCGCTGCTCTCCTTGCCCTTCCTGCTGGCACCCAGGAATTTATTGATCATATCCTGGCATTGTCTAGAAGCCTACCACTTTGTTAGGCCAGGCAGCTTGAAATTATTGTGTGGGACATGGTGACAGCAGGGTGAGGGGCTCCTCCAGAGCTAGACATTGCAAGCAGTTAGGGAAGAGGGCCCTGAGAAGAGCTTTGTGCTAGATCCAAACCCAGTCCTGTCTCAAATACAGCCTCAGGCATGGTCTCATATCAGCAGAGCAGCCTCCCTGACCTGCCCACCTCCCGAGCACAGAGCTGCCTCGGGGGCTGCCCGCTAACACTGTGTGTGTCAAGCATGGCCTGAGGAGCATATCTGAAATACCGTGTTCCCTGAGGGATATTGATCTTGCAGCGTCTGAATGCTGGAAGCGGGGAGGGCGCTGCCACTGACAGCCCTGCAGGCAACTTTCCAGGGTTACCCCTAAGCCCCCTGGCACACGCCTCGGTGGCATTAGCCACGTACATTTTGGCTAGGCCACAGATGCCTTCTGTAAATGTGGTGCCCCTTGCACAAAGACATGTCTTTATGTATTGCTGACCAACTGATCCCAAAGGACCAGAATACCGCGACATTTTACCGGTTTGCTGCTACCAACCTAGAAGTGGTTTTGATGGGCTTATCTGAAATAAGGGCACTCCTGACATATCTCAGGCTGTTTTCACTGCACCGCTCCTCCTTCCCTTCTGATGGGTGTTTTGATGGGGATTTCTGCCATCCGGGGAATCTCTGGGGAAGAACCTCCTGAAGGGAGCAGCTGACCGGCAAGGGATCCAGCTGCCCTCAAAGCCATCATGTGAGATTTTTCACAGGATGCCAGAGAGGGCACCAAAACCAGCAAGATCACAGGTTTACCAGGAATGGATTACCGGTCACCCTACCTGTGACTATTAACACAAGCATTATTTCACAGTGAATGAACTCTACCCACTCCACTTGCAGAGACATGGTATGAGGCTCCTGCAACATTTAATACTATTTAAGCTCTCAAAATAGGGCTTTAATGAAGATCAGATGCTGAGTTTGTGCTAGACCTTCCAGAGAGAAGTTTATTTCATCCTGCAGGCCTAATATTAATGAACTTGAAAGCAACTCTGGTATGAGTAAGAAAAAAAACAGTACTCTTTTATATGTGCATAAGCATATTTGCATATTTTTGTTTGTATTTCCATGTGCTGGTACTTGAAAATGCACGCCACAGTTTCTGGTATAAACATAAACATGAGAAGAGCTGTTTTTTTTTCTTCTATATTTTGTCTGCAATAAGCATGACATTAGCACTGCAAATGAAGAATGGGAAGCTCCAAGACTGTGAGCGCAGCCCACCAATGTATACGCATTGTAAGTCTCCATCTGTACCCACAATGTACAAAACTGAAAGCGTTACCAATGATCCCTGTGGTCCCTTGAGGTTCAAGATGCTCTAACTCGTCCTGGTGACTTGGAAAATCCTTCTATGAATTGTCTGCAGGTTAGTTAAGAGACTTGTTGTCATATAAGTGGTGTAATAAGTGTACATGTATCTTCCAAAGATGTGGTCTTATTTTCACAGCTACTTTGGGACTGGGAAAAGAAAACTGGGAAATAGAACATCTTTTTTATTAACATTTTTGTCATTTTCTTCCCTTGCTTTTTAAGCAGTTTCTTACTATCTCTAAGATGCAGAAGGAGGAAGCCCACGCTTACAGTGCTCCTGCAGTTCTGGCTAAGACAGGAACTCAGTAGGCTCCAGGCGGACCATGTACTTGAGTGTGCAGAGCCAGCAACAGGCCATCCATACGGATGAACACCTCACCTGCAGCACACAGTAGCTTTGCCAGCACAGCTACCCCTTTGGTGGCTTCAGTGCTCCTCCTGCTGAAGGAAAAAGGAAAAAGGGGACAGGGGAGAAGAGTTGAGGAGAGTGCCGTTGGAAAGGTAAAGAAAGGGATGTAACTACTGGAGGAGAAAAAGCAACACTTGACATATCTGAGGTCTTATCAACCTCAAACAATAAATCAGAAAACTTGTGAAAGGTGGCCAGAACAAGAACCCATAAGCACAGGAACTTAAAGGAGTGCATCTTCATGAAACTGTGAAGTCTCTGTTTTCAGGTTCCCCAGAGTCTCTGGGTGTCTGGCCAGTGGGCTGGTGATGAGACCTCTCAGCAAGGTCCGAAAGTCACCACTCAGTTTCACATAGTTATGAGTGTATCCAGCAGAGCAGGCTGGAAGAAGAGACACTTGGCTGCTGATTGATTGACTACCAGCTATCCAGTTTCACCACTTTGGTAACAAACAACATTGGGACATATCTGAGAGATGACAATGTGGTATTTGTGACCACTCTGCTACCCCAAAATGTGGCGGTGGGTCTGCAAGAGTCAAGGAATGGTAGAGTTGCAGAGAACACTCTTCTCTACAAACCTCCACCAAACCAAATCAGAAAGAGAACAGAGAGAAGGACAAGAGAGGTCAGTCCAGGAAAGAGAAGGCCCCAAAATGGTACGTGACATCCTCCAACTTCTTCTTGATTGATCCACCTGTAGTTACCTGAGAGCCCTGCCTGGTCATAAATCTGCACAATCTGCTCCGGCCAGACAATTTGGGGTGCCCACAAACTGTGCTACTCTGCAGAAAATTTGCTTGACCTGCCAAAAGGAAGGAGAAACATTCTTGGGAGTTGAATAAACACAGTATGAAACTGTAAGTGCAGTTCAGTATTAAACATTATGAGACAGTATTCAGTATTATACAGGCAAGCCCTGTGACTGGGACTTTGCCCATAAATACTCTGTCACATGAACATTAAAATAAATATGCACTAACCTGCACTCTGTGTGCAAAGAGAAAACAAGCAATCCATTACAAAAGAAGATAGGCAGTTGGTTGCACACTTCACCTAGGCAGAGGAGGAGAGGACAAACAGTGTTAATGATATTCTTTAATATAGGTATAAGCCTACAGGGAGTGAGAAGGCTGAAGGGACTAAACAGATTACCTGGTGTGTTTGTACTGGCACTCTTCTTTCCCATGACTGGGACTGTGTCACTGCAAACACAAGGATTGTATCATAATGTGGTCTTAAAAGACCCCGACAGCTACCACAGCAAATGTCATAAAATGTCACACCAACAACTCTAATTTTTATGGTCCTAGGAAAATGCCCTACCACTTAAAAGATCTTTAACTGCAGTGATGTCAAAGCATCAACTGAGACACATTTCTGCTGCATCTCCTTCTATGGGATCCCTCTAATATATAATGAAAGAAAGATTTTAAGAATTTTCATAGGTTGATGTGTTGATGCAAAGTTGATGCAAAACTGTTACTTTCTTCCAACTCTTCTTTGACAAATCAACTGACTGATCTCACCAATAAACAGGTCTGACATCTTTCTTTGCTGATACAAATGCATACCTGACTTTTGGTTTAGATAGGGGACAAGATGGCATGAGGGCCTGCAATCATAGCCCAGCATTTGGACAAGGCCAAGAGCTCAAAGCGAATGCAGCATCCAAGAGAATGACCAGTTTATAAACACAGTTTGCCACCACTGGGTCCTAAGACTGATTTGGCTCCAGTACAACACTGGGCTAAATCCGATCCTGATCCAAACTGAGGGCTGATAGATCGCCTTTAATCTGAAAGTGAGTCATTTTCTTAAAGGTCAAAATGATAAACTTACTGCCCAGAAACCCTGCAGGTATTCTCTTTGGGAAAAGAAAAAAAAAAAAAAAAAAAAACCAAAAACAAAGACAAAAACAAAACCATAAGAAACAAGCCAGCAACCCTCAAAAGAAAACCCACAGGGAGCAAGTATTCCCTTTCTAGTGTACAAATCTGGAAGGACTGAAAGCAGCAATTAAACCACAAAACAAATAGCACCATAAATTCCATCTGGCAGATGATTTTTCCCTAGGTCCCCTTTTCACCACCCCTTTTATTAGCTCTCCCCTTGTCCACACACTATAAAGAGCAAGGCCAAAACCGTGCTGTGTGCACTGGTGCAAGCTGGCATGGCCGTGATGCAGTTTGCCAAGCCTGCCTCCTTCTGACTTTATCACCAACTTGCCTCTTGACTCCAGGCAACGGTCTGCCTGATGTCATTGCTCAGACATCCTCAGTCTGATTTGCTGCCATTGGCAAAGACCTATGAATTCCCTACGGAAAGGAGTCCTCCAGCTTCTGAGTGTAATGTTACTATTCTTAGCATTTTCCCATAAGGCTAAAGTGCAAGGAGCTTTTATTTTTGCGGTTGTTTTTCACCTAATGGGATTAATTGCGAAACAGACATGTGAGAGACCTGTGATCTTAGATCCAATCTCCGAAGTAAACGATTGGGCTCTGCTTGTTGAAGTAACCAGGTGATCAAGGCAAGGCTGCATGTCCAAAAGTTCAAAGGTTAAAACTGGGATGACCAGTCCCACATAAATAAAAGTCGTGTGATACTACAGGATCTTTGAAGTACTCATCATGGATCAAGTCTTGTGCTTCACCTTTCTTCTAAACTTGCTTGTGTCATATAATCTACTGATTTACAAGTGCTGAGGAAAAGAAGTGCCAAACACGTCTGGGGCTAAAAGCTGTCACGTGGACTCCTGTAATTTGTTGCCCTTGCAGCATCTCATGGAAGATTTTCCACTTGGCAATAAACGAGTCCTTGTAAAAGGAAGGCAGATTTTGTGACAACCCATAATTTCAAGTGCACATAGCAAGAAGGTCAGAGAAAAAATAGGTCAGGGCACATTTAATGGTGTATCAGAGTAACTCTTATAAAGAGGAACTTTATTTAAAATCTGGATTTTAAATGAGTCACATGTACAATGTGAGTGTTACTACCTGCACCATTCCCAGATCTTCTCTTACAGCCTATCAAAGTCTCTGGAATGGCTGCAAGAGCCATTCCTGTATGTTTTTGTAACAACTTTGATCCATTCATTCCAGCTGAGTTCCAGCTGACTGGCCCCAGCACAAGAGAAAACCAGCATAGTCAGAGCAGGTCTTTCAGCCTTATTCAAAGAGCGTTCTTAATTTGGTCACCATGCAGTGTTCAAGTTCCCATGCACCTCTTTCATAAATTTTACAACCAAAACTGCAGAGCACAAATGGGCCTGGTAAAGATCACTGACACCATACTTAACCATTGCTTTTCAGGTAGCTGTAGAAGATGTGAAACACACTTGTAAGAACTGAGGTGACAGTACACCTGATTGGGATTGGAAGCTCCTGAACAAAATCATTTCTGGCTGGCCTTTCTCTGGGAGGGAGACTGCAGAAAATAAAGGAGGGCGATTGTAGGATGACTGAGATGGAAAAAATATGGTATACAGAAACAGAAACTGGGGAGCTTCTGATCAGTTGAGAGAGCATGGAGTAAAGGACCCAAGAAAAGAGCAAGGGAAAGGCATTTCATCTAGTGATGTGTGTGGGAAGACAGGAGGGCTGTAAGGCAGGACATTGTCTCTCTACAGCTGATTTCTCCTGTGCTCAGAAAGCAGGTCTTGCAAATAAAGAGATTTGCACCAAAGATACTTGACTCTAAGACAAATGTCATCTCTCCAGATATGCTCAGGTTGGTTTTAGATATGACACTA